GCCAGACTTAGAATTAAATCATGACATGATGACATGGTCATGAAAGTCTGCCGCAGTGTGAGTGTTAGTGACTGTTAGTGTTACTGTTACTGTGCTGTGTTAGTCACAGAATTGCAGAAAGAGTCACAGAGCAATGTCAATGTCCAATGAAAACGACAAATGTCAATAGTAAGAATAATGTATTTAATATGTCCATTGTAGTAATGTTAATGTAAAGTTGTGACCAAACGTCTGTGTGTATTCCTTATCGAATGCTGTCTTTCAATGCGATGGCCTTCTCATGAAATAATCCACCCCTCATCTAGTGTATTCGTTGCATTGACATTGTGAGCACACACACCCTACACTGGTAAATGGACATGGAAAGCACATTACGGTAAGAACTAAAGGGTAGCATTGCCGTAGACGATGAACCGCAGGAATGGCACTAAACGTAGTCCCTCTCCCCCATCAATTGGCAAAAAAGAAAAAAAAAAAACCTGAAGAAAGAGGGAAAGGAAGGAAGCTTGTAAATAACCTGTGTGACATTTAACGTAACCCACTACTAATTATTACCCACTACCTCCAACCAACTACCTTGGCTTGGTATTTTTTCGCATTGTCTGTGTGTGAGACGTGCAAATGATTCAACTCCGGAGGGTGGGGAACTTTGGGTTGACCTTTACTTACCTAGTTACCAAATTTGTTTGTGTCCACTTTCCCCCCTTTTTTCACGTGTGCAGGCTTGACGATAGAGCCAGGGAAGCACTATTCCCAGACTGTGGATCAGTCGTTTCATGTGTCGATGGCAGCTCTTGAAAGCAGAGAAAAGTCAGGTTAGTAATCAACAAGTATCATTACCATCACTATCACTACTGCTGTCATCACCATTGTAATCATCATCACCATCATCTCTTTCAGCATCATCATCATCATCACCACAACTATCAATCATCAATCATCATCATCATCATCATCATCATCATCATCATCATCATCATCATCATCAATCATCAATCATCATCATCATCATCATCATCATCATCATCATCATCATCATCACCACCACAACCATCAAGGCATCAATCATCAGTCATCATCATCATCATCATAATCATCACCAGAACCATCAATCATCAATCATCATCATCATCATCATCATCATCATCATCACCACACCATCAATCATCAATCATCAATCATCATCATCATCATCATCATCATCATCATCATCATCATCATCATCATCACCAGAACCATTAATCATCAATCATCATCATCATCATCATCATCATCATCATCATCATCACCATCATCATCATCATCATCATCATCATCATCATCATCATCATCATCATCATCATCATCATCATCATCATCATCATCATCATCATCAATCATCATCATCATCATCATCATCATCAGCACCACAACCATCAATCATCAATCATCATCATCATCATCATCATCATCATCATCATCATCACCACAACCATCAATCATCAATCATCATCATCATCATCATCATCATCATCATCACCACAACCATCAATCATCAATCATCATCATCATCATCATCATCATCATCATCATCATCACCACAACCATCAATCATCAATCATCATCATCATCATCATCATCATCATCATCATCATCATCATCATCATCATCACCACAACCATCAATCATCATCATCATCATCATCATCATCATCATCATCATCATCATCATCATCAGCACCACAACCATCAATCATCATCATCACTTTTACCATTGTAATCATCATCACTTTCATCACCATCATCCCCATCATCCCATCATCTTCATCCTCTTCATCCTCAGCACCATCACCATCAATCATCATCTTCTTCATCACCTTTATCATCACCGTGATGAAGATCATCATCATCATCATCATTTTCAATCACCATAATTATTTACATCTTCTCAATATGATCTCCAAGTTCAAATCATCTTCATCACCACCACTTCATCATCAATTTTTGATTATCATCATGCGTAATCATAATCATCGTCATCATTAGTATCATTACCATCATCATTACCAATACCATCTTCACCATCTTCATCATCACCATATTGGAAACTGTCTAATCTAAGATAATTACAAACTAACCACTTAATTGAAAGGAATGTGAAATATGACTCTAGAAAATATGATGGGCTAGACGAAACATAGCACTCTTCATTAAATACAAAAGTATGAATTCATTCATGAAACTCTTTCTTTGTCTATGTAACTAACAATGTGTCATGTACAGACAACTGAATTATTCATACCCCTTGTAAATGTTATGATTTTGTTGTGTGTGTTTTCGTAACTCAAGAATGGAAGGTGGACTGCTGGAATTAGGACCTTATTTGTTGAATACTTTTTGACGTAAGCTTTGATAATGTCACATTCTCAAGAAACATAAATCGGGACAAGTCAACTTTTCACATACTGAAAAAATTAGAAAACTTGGTAAGGGTATGTTGATATAATGTTACATCATTACAGGTACGACACAACTGTTGGTACGCCATGAGAAAGCAGAGTTTCTCCTTTGCACTCTACAGTATGGTGATGATATTCCATATCCTTGCCTTCAACAAACTCTCGAACTCAACCTGTCAGAGGGGTCAGAAATCAGCTTTTATTCAGAGGGCAAAGGTGAGTGTAAAGGCTTGTTCTCCTCGTTACGAGAAATGCCATTTCATTTAAAGCCCCACTGCACTACTTATAGCTACTTGTGCCCTCTATATAGCAAATAATGCCTAAGCGGTACTTGTCGGTCCCCCATGGTCCCCTTTGTGTTAACTGAGAGCTGATTTGATGAGATAACCACCTATCAGTGACTATGCAGGGAGGTTTAATCCCTCCTGGCCAAACTAATGCAGATAGGCTTTAAAAGAGAGACTAAATTATATCTGTTATCTGAGCAATAGGTTGTCATCATTTTACCAGTTTGAATATTATTTTCATGTTCAATACCGTACCTCAAATCCCTTTTTTATACCTAATGTTACAACTTGTCCTTCCTTTTATTCTAAGGCTAAATGTTGTGTGATGGAATGTGAGAAGGAAAGGAAACAAAAACCAACATTATCATTTAATTGGAAGGGTTTAAAGTTGTCTAAATTTTCATTGACATGTTGGTGTAAAAATACAATGATCAGTATAACATCTTTTTAACATGTGAATACCTGTATGGTGTAAAACTTTCCATGGAGTGCAAAGTTAATTTGTCTTTTATAATGGTTGGTGTTATCAAGGCACGATTCATCTGACGGGGTACCTAGTGACCGATGAGCCCCTTCTGGAGGAGGATCCTGAACTTGTTGCCGAGGCCAACAGTCTTCTGGTTGGGTCTGATGAGGAAGAGGACTTCGACAGCGAGGAGGAGGATGATGATGGTGAGGAAGATGATGAAGAGTATTCCGATTCGGACATGGAAAGCACTTCCTCACAAGGTAAAGTAGTTGTTCCCTTTCTTGTGTGCGTAGCAAATCGGTTTTAGCACAGGCACTCCAAATACATTTTTCAATCTGCTGTGTTTCCAGCAGAAGAATGTGAACAGATATTTGTCAAATTTCAGAAATGCCTAGTTTTGTTTGCTGAAGTAATGATATCTCTGCTCACAATTTGGCTGATGTACAGATGGGTTGCAAAGATGGAGTGGAAGAGGGGAGATCCTGGGCCTTTGGTCAGGTACTAATCCTGATTACTTTAAGAGTCCCTCAGAGAGGACATAAAGCTGTCGGTCCCCCCAGTTGCTTACAATCATGCACATGCTTTCTTAGCAGTCAGATTCACACAAACTATCAAACCATTTAATCAAAGTCCAAAGAACTTTCAGAACACTTGTCTGCATGACTGAAGCAGGACCAATTTGCTTTTTCTCTGACATTTCTGCTTTCAATTGTAGAGGAGCAAGTCAAAGGTCTTTCTTTGTTTGCTTCATTTGCTTGCTGTGACATACATTACCTCAAGAAGCTGGAGAAAAAAACAATGTAAGAGCTAGGTTGCCTCCACTTTTATCATGCATGAAATTAATTTTATTGATAATTTTCTCTCATATTTTTGTCAGATGCTTCATGTAACTGGCAGCAGCTGATCAATGAGTTTGACGGGGAGGATGATGACGACAGCGAAGAGGAAGAATGGACTCCTGAATCAGGTGAGAGGTCAAAGGTCAAACTATCACAGAATGATGTGAGAGGTCAAAGGTCAAACTATCACAGAATGATGTGACAGACACATTAAACCATGCACTTGTTTAATAGGAAAGAAGTCTGTGGCAGAAGACTGTTTAGCCCTTTTCGTGGTTCACTCTGTATGTCCCCATGGCTGTTGTCTTTTTAGATGAAATTTTAGCACGTCATGTGATTGATTGTGTTAATGCATTTCTTGCACTCAACCCACAATATCATCTGTTGAGTATGTTTTCTTTGCATGCAGCACTAAATGGGGATAAATATCTGAATGATAAACAGAAATTAAACTTGAATTTTTAATTTTCCATCTTGAGGAAGGAAACATTCAAGTTCCATCTTCAGTGAAAGGAATAGGCATTTTGTTCAGAGTACTATATTCTAAATTAACCCTTTTGTACAATCTTGACATCTTTGAGTGGACTCTTCGAAAAACACTGTTTTTTCTTGACTTGTTCCTCCTTTTCTTGTTTCAAATATAACTACAGTAAATGCATTAATAATCAAAACAATGATAGTATAATAGATTTTGTGAAGTGCACATATTTGCATAGATTTGGCACCAAGGTGCACAAAACTATCAAGAACTTACAAGAGAATGCCAAAGTTAATAAAAATTAGCAAAATGACAATAATGGCAATACAATAATCTGATACATTGTCACTGTTATCATCATTGCGCCGCTGTAGGTTTGAGTGTCCACGAGGGAGAGTATTAATGTTTTTTGTGTGGAAGATCTAGCCTTTGCAGGATCAACATATCTTACAACTTGAAATCATTGAACCCATATTTTCTCTCAAACCAGCAAAGAAAAGTGCCAAGAAAGCAGGGCAAGAGAAGAAAAGGAAATCTCAAGATGATTCTATTTCAGATGATTTGAGTCTGTCGGCTTACAAGAAGAAAGAAAAGGTAAGTGGGCAGCCCGTACATATCCAGCATTGATCCGGGTCAACTTGGCACCAAGGTCAACTAACTTGTCCTTGGTGGAAATTGTGGTCAAGTTATCCGAGAGAGCTGACTTGATCCCAAATGCCTGCATCAGTTTTTGCATCGATTTCGTCTTTTTGACAACTCAAATTCAAAATTATTTGATGTGTTATGTAAAACAGTTACTAAAAGGGTAATGTTGAAAATCAAAAGTGGTTAATTTGGTGAAAATCATGAAAATTATAGCTATTTTATATTGGTTCGGTATGAAAGGAACATTTCCACTCGAGAAACCCTATTGCCTTGCGAGGCCAAGTTGCACCTAGTCTCCAGTAAGACTGAACGCTCCGGCATATACACTGACACTCTCTTGTATTTAACATGTTGAGTTGGCAAAGGCCAAGTCTTCTTTTGGTGAAAAATAGAAAGCAGGACATTGCACAAACAAGCTTCTTTTTTTTGGGGGGGGGGGGGAACTGCACCCATCTAATGAGGGTTGCATGCTTGATCTTGTAATTGAAAAACAAGTCAGAAATCTTGGATCCAGTGGGATTTGAACCTGCCATCTACTGCTTGCCGGCAGTCACTCAACAAGCTATATGTGGCGGTAGATGGCAGGTTCAACAACTCCTCTCTCACTCTACAAGCAGTAGATGGCAGGTTCAAATCCATGATTTTTTTCTGACTTGTTTTTTCCATTACAAAATGAGGCATGCGATCTTTATTTACTAGGTGCAAGCCCCCCCCCCCCCCCCCCCCTCCAAAAAATTCTTTACAAATTGAATTTACTCTCAAGAAGCCTGCATTCAAAGTAAATGTTAAATACCACACGTAACTGGGCACAGAGCTGACTGTCGATAGGAAGTAGTGATGGAAGAAACACTTAAGTGTTGGAGATGAGTTGAGCGAGACTAGTACTTTTGGTGTCACTTTGATTCCTGTCAATGCACCATCATAGTGTCAATTGTTGTTTATGCAGGCATTTTATTTCAGGTTAATTTTCATCATAGATTGATTTTAAAAGCATAGAGAATTACATCATGCATTTTAGAGTGCTGTGAAGGAAACCTACTTGTGCTGAAGTATTTTTATGCCTCCGTTACGAAGTAGCCGGAGGCATTATGTTTTCGGTTGTCCGTCCGTCCGTACGTCCGTACGTACGTCCGTCCGTACGTCCCGTTCTCGTGATAGCGTTATCTGAAGAACCGATTGATGGATTCCTGGCAAACTTTGGTCATGTATGTATCTTGCAGAGCCGATGAACTGATTAGATTTTGGGGTCACGAGGTCAAAGGTCAAAGGTCACAGGGCTCATTAGGTATGCAAAAACAGCTCGTGATCGCGTTATCTCAAGAACCGATAGATGGATTCCTGCCAAACATTGGTCATGTATGTATCTTGCAGAGCCAATGAACTGAATAGATTTTGGGGTCACGAGGTCAAAGGTCAAAGGTCACAGGGCTCATTATGTATGCAAAAACAGCTCGTGATCGCGTTATCTCAAGAACCAATTGATGGATTCCTGCCAAACTTAGGTCATGTATGTTACTTGCAGAGCCGATGAACTGAGTAGATTCTTGGGTCATGAGGTCAAAGGTCAAATGTCATGGGCTTATTATGTATGCAAAAATAGCTTGTGAACGCATTCTCATTAGAACTGACAGATGGATTACTATTTAACTCAGGACATCTTGCAGAGCCAATGAACTGAGTACATTTTAGGGTCATGAGGTCAAAGATCAAAGGGTCATATATGTATATGAGAAATTGCTTTTTGGTTTGTAAACTTGCTCTATGACGGAGGCATCATTTTCGACTGCGTGCAGTCGAAGTTCCATCTAGTTTATTAACTTTTAACCCTCTTTATTTGTTTATTAAAATCATTGATTCTCATGATTCCTTGTCTTTTAACAGCGGCTGTACAAGCAGAAACATTATCAAAAATGGAAATAGCTACAGATGAGGGCGGTGAGGAAGAGGAGGATGGAGACTTCAATCCAGTCGAAGAGAATGACAGCGATGACGACGAGGAAGATGAAGAGGAGTATGAGGAAGATGAAGAAGAAGTTGAAGGTTAGAGCACAACAAAAATGTTGATTGATGTCGCTCAGAGGCACTGGCTTGTGTACCGTAAATCTCTGTATATATGACACACTTTTTTCTGCCGGAAAAATTCAAAAGTCGTGGGTGCGTCTTATACACAGGTACAGGATATTTTGAGTCCTTAAAATGCTACTTTTTAGTGGTTTTCGAAAATCTCTGTGTCTCAACATGAATTATATTATGCGAATAAAGAATAGGATCTACTGAAGTTAAACTACATTTCTAATCTGAAGGGAAGAGGGTTTTTCTTTTTTTTTCAGTTTCGATAGATTATGACTCTCCACATGGGCAGTCCAAATTTCTGTTTGGACTTGGAGGAAAATTTCTCTGTAATCTTTAGTTTTAAAAACAGCATTGCTACTATTATTTGTGACAAGTTCACAAGCACTTCAAATGCATCTCGTAATAAATTAAAGTCCTTCCCTGCATGGCTTGGGTTTCCGAACGGGCTTACCGAACGCCGATATATGACGCGATCTGATCTTTCTTGTTTGTGTGTGTATTTATTTATGCAGAGGAGAAGCCCAAATCCTCTCCAAAGAAGAAAGCTCAGACTCCTAAAGGCAAAGCTGAGAAGTCACCTGCCGCCAGCCCTCAAAAGGTAACTGTAGTGTTGTCTTTGTGGTTGTACATTAACCCACCTGGTTATGGAATGCCAGGGTTTCCAACTGTCCTGCAAACCAACCAAAAACATAGAAAATGAATTGTGTTCTTCCAGTCAGGGAAGAGTCAGGAAATGTAATAAAATCCTTAAAATTGTGGGAAAATCTGGGGAATTTAGAAAGAAGATTTAGTTCTGGAGAGATGTGAAAAATAATTTGTGAGTGTTATCATTGTTTATTATGCAAGTGTGGAAGAACATCAGAGAAAAAACGTTCCCTGAAAAGCATGGCTCTTCAAATGCCTTCATATTCTAAATATGACAAGTAACAGCTTAAACTGAGGCCCACATTTTTATGCCACATGTTTGTGTAGTCCCACATACATCTTTCTTTGTGCAGTGCTCATTACTTGACCAAGACTGGGCCAAATTTCTATATCATTTTGAGTTTCTAGAACCTTGCAGTACACACCAATACATATATGCTAAATGATCAATTTTTCTCTGATCGATTCCATGCCGTTTCTTTCACAATGCAATCGCATGACCAGAACTCAACTTTATCTTTAATTCTTAACTTTATTTTTTCCTCAACACACTAAATGATTATCATTATGCTTGAAACTTCCATTAGGAATTATAAGATAAATAAGATAAAAACCATGCTTATAAAGCGCTTACCACCAAAGTTTTGCATAATGTTACTTCTTTCATTATTTCCAAGTAATTTTAAAAAATACTTAAGGGTCCATATTCATTCTAAAGAAAAACTGATTTCCCTTTTATTGTTCCAACTATTCCCAACACATCACTAATACATGTTTCTTTTGAATCCTTCTTATATATATATATATATGTACACACATGTTGATTGTATTTTTATTTTTTTAAACCGAAAATGGAAATAAACTTGAATTGAATTGAATTAAAGTATTGTAGGTTATGACACAGGGTGAATATGATTTGTATATTTGCTTTGTTAGGTTATCAAGAAGACAGAGGATGCCGATTCAGAAGCTCAGGAAAAGACAGAATCTCCTCTCAAGAAGAAAAAGAAGAAGAAGAAGCAGCAGGTAAAGGTAAAAGCTTGCCGAGAACATATTTTATTGGGTTCAGAGAAGAAGAAAAAATGAAGTATAGTGGTTTATCTGATAGGAAACATTGTTAACCCAACAGCAGTACAGTGACTACTTTTAGTGATGTTTTTGCTCATCTATTGAGCTAGAAGGGTAGGAACTACACTTTCATGAACAGAAAAAGCAAAAATCAATTTTAAAAAAATAGTATATTTCCATTGTTAAAACTTATCATTACACCGCGTAAGATATAAAATCATTGTTGCTTTACAAATTGGCAATTTTTGAATTTTCTTTCACATTGGTTCATTTGATAAACATTTTGTTTTCCTTCAAACTATAAAGGAGTGGAAAATATGTATAAAGGCGAAATGATATGTTGTCACTATAACTACGACAAATTTGACCCCTGTTGACCCATAATTTGGAGGGGTGGGGAAATTAGGTTTTTGCTTTTGTGCAACATTTAAAGGGAAATATTTGTTATTCCTTTATATTTGTATTTTACATTCATTCAGCTTTCTATTGATGTAAAGCTGTATTTTCATTGGATAAGGTATTTAATTTGCTCTCCCCCTTTTTTTCTTCCTGTATGCAGCAGGATGAGGAAACCAAAGAAGGAGAGCTGCCTTTGAAGAATCTCAAAACAAATAACAAAGAGAATATTGTTCAACAAAAGGAAAAACCTGCGAAGAAGGCACAAACTCCAGCCAAACCAGTGAGTATTGGTCAGATGTTGTTTGCAATGTAGTTCTGCTGTAAGCAAAATCTCCTAAATAATCATCTTTTATCCAAATGTACCATTTGAGGATGAGGCCATGTTTGTTTAGGTTTCAGTAAGATTCAACTAAGATTTTATCATAAAAATCATTTTTTCTGAATCTAGTATGCACCAATAGATTATTCATTGTCGCATAGTAATTTCATTATATATTAAAAAATGTACATTTAGAGCATCACTCATATAATTTTTGTGTAAGTTGTTTTCAGTCTATTCTCGAATGATATAAACCAATGTCTTAGAGTGTAGAACATGAAAGAATTAAAACTGTTTCACTAAGTAGAAGTTAGGTTTACATTGACTTGTGTCGGTACTGAATTTGTTGAACAAGCTGTGCAAATATTTGTTTCTTTCCCTTATTTTTTTTACAGAAAAAAATAAAATTACAAACAGGAACAACGATTGAAGATCTAAAAGTTGGAGAGGGCAAGTTGGCCAAGCCAGGCAAAAAGGTATTATTGTATGTCAACTCTGTGTAAATAGGTATTAGTTTATACAACTCATGCCTCAATCCTAATCCAATGATTGGTCAAACAAGGTCATGTGTGACTCATTTACTGAGACTATCACATGTTTTTTCATGAAAAAGTATGTTATAGTTTCCAGTACACGATACTCAGCATTGCATGTAGAGGGTAATGTACTTATACTGTGTGTGGGTTATTACATGCGCGGCACTGGGCGTTGATGCGTGTAGAAGTAAGTGCGCTTATTTCTGTGTGTTCATTAAAGTTTGCCTTTTAGATTGGGAGTTTATTTGTCAGCGATAATGACACATAATATATTAATAAATGTATGTATGACGATATCGCGATAATTCAAATTTTATTATTTTGCTTGTATGTTTTTTTTTCTTCATTTTTTCTTTTTTTCTTTTTTGCATTGAGAACTACCACTAGTACTTTCAGAGATTCACTTTCAAATGGGTATGGAGGGGCTTTATGGATTACACAGCGATTGGGACCAACCGGAGGATAATTGAATATGGTTATCACAGATGATAAGGCCATTAAAAAAATATACATGTTTAGCATCTCTGCTTGCTTTCTTTTTGGGGGCCGCCTCCTATTTGTTGTTGTTGTTGTTGTTGTTGAAAGTTTTAATTTTTTTTGGGGGGGGGGGGGGAAGAAAAAAAAATTAAAAGAAAAAAAACATGAAAAACACTGCTAGAATGGATCTATTTCTGATTTAAAAAATAAAAAAAATGTCAGTGGCCATCTTGAAAAAAAAGGGCCGCCTCCTTCCTATTTTTCAAAAAGGCAGGAGGCTAAACACTGTTTCTTATTTGGCCGAATACTGATGTGGTATGATTAACATCCGGGTGGTATACTGAAAAATATGTTCCATGTCATCGAAAGTATATTATCCTTTAAAAAAAAAATTCAAATTGGGACAAGTCATTGGTTATTGTCTGCGCAAATGGCTGGCTGCCTACATGTACGTTAAGAGATAGACATTTGTGCAAACACCAATGGTAAAAGCGTCTTCTTTGAAATTTCAAAGCAACATACTTTTCACTAGCATAGGAGGTAAAGTAATTTATGGCACGAGCTTGGTAATAGAAAAGTTGTACAAGAATGCTGTGGCATAGGAAAAGGAAAGACTAATAACTAATAGAAGTTTTGACCTAAAATTCTACTGTTTCAACATGTTTTGTTTAAAGGTGTTCATGTACTATCGCGGAGTACTAGCTAACAACCAGAAGGAGTTTGATTCTCAGTTGTCAGGGAAACCATTCATGTTCGGTCTCGGCAAGGGAGAAGTTATCCAAGGATGGGATGCTGGTATTATAGGTAAGATTTGTTCTCAAAATGATTGTTCGTGAGATAGGTGTAGTTGTACTAAATGAGAAAAATAGTTCGTGAGCTTTCTCTTCACTTATATGTTGGTAAGAAGAATATAATATAAGAAATGTCTGCTGAAAAGGACTGCGTTTGAAATACCCTCGTATCAAAATATGACAAATATCAGCCAACTAATTTGGACCCAACTCTCATGCCACGTGTGTGTAGTCCCATATACCCATTTCTGTGTGCATTACCTGTGATATTTCTTCATATTTTGATGATTTTTCCAAAAACTTTGTAGTATCCACCAATCTTATGCATGACTTGATCTTTAAGAGCTAGGATGCCAGTGCCATAGTTAAACTCCATCTGTAAATTACATTTGTCAACATCCTCTCAGATTTTGATATTGATTCAAGTCTTTCCTATTGTCCAAGTGTAATTCAATAAAGATTTTATTTGGTATGTTTGATATAAATTGATTTGTGTACCGGTAAATATCTATAATCATAAATTGGTTGTAATATCATAAAACATGTAAGAAAATTTAAAGTGTGTCTTGCAATGTTCAAAACACTACTTTAATGTATGTAAGCCGACTTACTTTAAATGTTTGGTATGAAGTACCAGTTTTGATGAATTTTTCCCCCTTGTTTTTTATTTCCTTTTTTAGGAATGAAAGTAGGAGGCAAGCGCAGGTTAACTGTTCCACCATCACAAGGGTAAGTCTGCAATATTTTAGATTCCTCTTAGTCTGTAAGGCACCCTGAAATTCTAGTATAATATATATAATATATAGTATGATTTATATACAGTCAACTTGATTTAGTGATCACTTGTCTACAAAGACCACCTGTCTACAAGGACCACATTTTTTCCCACTTGATAATGGTTTCTCATTGAAACATGTACTAAAGGAACCCGTCTACAAAGACCACTTTTTGTGTTTCCCTTGGGTGGTCGCTGTAGACAGGTTTGACTGTATACATGTCAGCCTTGTCAACCCCTCTTCCTCAATACATCTCCTCAATCTTTCAGTAGTAGAGAACATGATCTGCACCAGCTCTTTCCCTTATCATTCCAAAATCTCGAAAACAGGCTGGCTTCAAATCCTTTCAATCAGTTACTTCATGCCTATGAAAACAAACTCCCTGCATTTCTAAGAATTGCAGGGAGCTTGTTCTCTTGACTTCTTTAAAAAAACCATTTGAAAAATTCCTCTACAAATCTTCTTAAAGGTAATACAAAGTTTTGGGAAATTTGAAAATTGGGTGGATAGTGATCTTTACAATTTTGATATATTTGGATGCCCCTGTGGATGTATTATAAGCACTAAAAATATTAGCCCCTAAAACACTTCTGTTTTCAAGAAAAATTGAATATAAAAATTTACCGGTGCTCCCGGTAAATTTTGATAAATTTCAAATAGCGCCTATGGCCGTACAATGGTAGCTGCGACCATGAAATTCTCAGAATATGTAGTTGTGATGTATAATTTCCAAACAGGAATAGATAATCGGTCGAATTTAGTCAATAAACATTGTTTCATAGCTAAATTAATATCTTGACCTTGAGAGGGAGCTATACAACACAGAGAGTTTATTATTTATAATTTCATAACTTTAGACTTGATTTCAACCGCGACAACGATCAATGAATATTGTAGGAACGCATATGCTTCCAATATGTTAATTTAAACCAAATTCATGACCCCATACCAAAACTTTGTAATACCTTTAAGGGACAGCTCCTTGTATCCTCTGGAAAAGGTGCTATTTAAATCCAGTTAATATCATATTATCTATGAGATAGTAAGAAATAGATCATAAAGTCTATATTTTCCTATTCTAGCCCCTGAATCCACAACACTGATATAGATTCAACTACGGTACTTAAAATGATTGTTTGGTTTGTGAATTTTCACAGGTATGGATCACAGAGAACGGGCCCCATCCCTCCAAACAGCACCCTGATCTTTGATGTGGAGCTGAAGTCGGTCAGATAACTTGGAGAGATTTCCATACAAGCAGGACAAGTTGGATATAGTAGGCCATTTGCCTAACAAGTGGGGCAAGTCCTAAAGGTAGCACAACTTGCTGACAATCAGGACATGTGAGATAATTTGGACAACTTGCCCAACTGGCAGGACAAGTCAGCTAACTTAGACAACTTTCCCGAGGTGCAGGACAAGTGAGATAATTTGAGAACTTTCCCTACAAGAGGGACAAGTTTGGCAGTGTGGAGGGTTCGCCATACAAATGAGACAAGGCAGATTATGCGTGAGAGGTGGACTAGTCTGAAAGTAGACACATTCCTGAGTTTTTGATGGAGCTTGTTGCGATGACATTGGGCATCGCGAAGTGGAGTCTTGATATGCGCAACCATACCTTGCCAGAGTTGGGCTTCCATTTTAGGGAGGTGTTGCGGCAGATTGGACGAAAGCCTGTGTGTCAGGGTTGTACTCTTGGAGGAGAAAATATTTATATAGATGTATCCAAGAGTTACCAACTTTAAGTAACAGATATTTTTCATCAAACTATCAATTTTCTAGCAGATTTCCATTAAAAATATATGCTGTTGAATCCTCAGTAATCATGAATGTTTCAAACTTTTTTACTCTGTGTGTTTGCAAGTGTAAATCCATGAAGTTCATGAAACCTCAGTTTTGTAATTTTGCATATATATGTTTAGATAGTCAAGTGGGTCTGTCAACCAAATGAACACCTGAATTTCACTTATCCCAATTTATAAAAGTTACTGTTTAGCATTAAAGGGATTGGGTATCTTTGTCTCAGATTCTGAAACAAAATCCTGGATTTAGCTCTTGCTGCAATGATAATTATAAACCTTTAGGTCGGTCAGGAACCCAATGACTTTTACAAGCCGATCGCCTGTCTGATTATCAAGATATTTATGATTGGAAATCGAAATTTCAAAAACCATTTTTATAAGACTACAGTCTATTGGGGAAAATGAGTACTGGTATGGAAAAACCTGTCACTTGATTTTATTTTTTGAGGCACTTCATGATCATTTTGAAGCGCATTTTTTAGGGCTTCAATATAACACCTCATCACAGACACTGATAATACGTAGGGCCATGCATCTCAGATTTAACATTGTTAAACGATGCATTTAAATATTATACAAGTATCGCATGCTCCTGCATTCAATATAATCACATAATGAATCAACAAATTCTGAAGCTGCAGGCTGAGGTTGAAATGTAAGGCACAAGGGAGATTCAGAGTCCAAGAGGGAACGCGAGCATTCGAGTGTGGGGAGTCGGGGTGAAATGCAAAATAACATGGCCGAGAGGGTGTCGGAGGGGTGTATTACCTCCTTCTTACTTTGTTTTATGCTGCAGCCCATCGTTCTCTCTATTTGTCTTCTCTCCCTCCCCACTCCCTCTCCCCCCCCCCACTCCCCCACTCCCTCTCCCCCCCACTCCCTCTCCCTCCACTCCCTCTCCCCCACTCCCTCTCCCCCCACTCCCTCTCCCCCACTCCCTCTCCCCCCACTCCCTCTCCCCCACTCCCTCTCCCCCCACTCCCTCTCCCCCACTCCCTCTCCCCCCACTCCCTCTCCCCCACTCCCTCTCCCCCACTCCCTCTCCCCCCCACTCCCTCTCCCTCCACTCCCTCTCCCCCACTCCCTCTCCCCCCACTCCCTCTCCCCCCACTCCCTCTCCCCCACTCCCTCTCCCCCCACTCCCTCTCCCCCCCACTCCCTCTCCCTCCACTCCCTCTCCCCCACTCCCTCTCCCCCCACTCCCTCTCCCCCCCACTCCCTCTCCCCCCACTCCCTCTCCCCCACTCCCTCTCCCCCACTCCCTCTCCCCCCCTCCCTCTCCCCCACTCCCTCTCCCCCCACTCCCTCTCCCTCCACTCCCTCTCCCCCACTCCCTCTCCCCCCACTCCCTCTCCCCCCACTCCCTCTCCCCCACTCCCTCTCCCCCCACTCCCTCTCCCCCACTCCCTCTCCCCCCACTCCCTCTCCCTCTCCCCCCACTCCCTCTCCCCCACTCCCTCTCCCCCCCACTCCCTCTCCCCCCACTCCCTCTCCCCCACTCCCTCTCCCCCACTCCCTCTCCCCCCACTCCCTCTCCCTCCACTCCCTCTCCCCCACTCCCTCTCCCCCCACTCCCTCCCCCACTCCCTCTCCCCCACTCCCTCTCCCCCCACTCCCTCTCCCCCACTCCCTCTCCCCCCACTCCCTCTCCCTCCACTCCCTCTCCCCCACTCCCTCTCCCCCCACTCCCTCTCCCCCACTCCCTCTCCCCCCACTCCCTCTCCCCCACTCCCTCTCCCCCACTCCCTCTCCCCCCCACTCCCTCTCCCTCCACTCCCTCTCCCCCACTCCCTCTCCCCCCACTCCCTCTCCCTCCACTCCCTCTCCCCCACTCCCTCTCCCCCCACTCCCTCCCCCACTCCCTCTCCCCCACTCCCTCTCCCCCCACTCCCTCTCCCCCACTCCCTCTCCCCCCACTCCCTCTCCCCCCGACTCCCTCTCCCCCCACTCCCTCTCCCCCCACTCCCTCCCCCCCCCCACTCCCTCTCCCCCCACTCCCTCTCCCCCCACTCCCTCTCCCCCACTCCCTCTCCCCCCACTCCCTCTCCCCCACTCCCTCACCCCCACTCCCTCTCCCCCCACTCCCTCTCCCCCACTCCCTCTCCCCCCACTCCCTCTCCCCCCACTCCCTCTCCCCCACTCCCTCTCCCCCACTCCCTCTCCCCCCACTCCCTCTCCCCCACTCCCTCTCCCCCCACTCCCTCTCCCCCACTCCCTCTCCCCCCACTCCCTCTCCCCCCCACTCCCTCTCCCCCCACTCCCTCTCCCCCCACTCCCTCCCCCCCACTCCCTCTCCCCCCACTCCCTCTCCCCCCACTCCCTCTCCCCCACTCCCTCTCCCCCCACTCCCTCTCCCCCACTCCCTCTCCCCCCACTCCCTCCCCCACTCCCTCACCCTCACCTTTCACCCATTTGATTAGGGACCCCATGTGCCCGTCTGTAGCTACACCATTCACCACTGACTGTATGTAATGATAATGAATTTTGTGTAGTTACCAATTTCAGTCAGAAGCAACTTAGGAATGTCCTTTGTGTCTGCTATTATGAACCATGTTATATATATGTTTCTGCATAATTTTACATGTTCAATATCCATTACTCAAGGACACTTAATGATATTATATTAGAGTAAAAGGGCTGTACATTGTCTCTTTCTTTTGTAAGAAAAAAAATAGAAGACACAAAGAAGCAATAAACTCAGAAAAAAAGATAAAACAGAATTCATTTGCTTGAAATATTGTGTTTTTGTACTTATGTGAACCTATTCAGTACTGAAGTATGAGAATGGCATCTAGGTTTTATTACAAAATTGCACATGGATTGGAAACCTATAGGGATTTCAAAATGGTCTGTCAAAAATGTTATTTGATAGGAATCCCCAAACTTACTCCAAGGAATTAAAGCAGTAAGTCCACCCTGATATTAAGTTGGTTTTATTGGTATCTTGCAAGCTCCCCTCCTATTTGCTTTGTGCATAACATTTTATAAACCTTCATTTTCTTTATTATTGATGAAATAGATTTGTTTCCATATATGGGTTGCAAAGAAACATATTTGCAATAATTATATTAAGGTTGCATGTATGATTGAATATGTTTTTTTTAATACAGAGCAGAGGGGAGGGGAGCTCGCAAGATACATCACAGAGTTGCCAATTTGTGTTTGATTGTTCAAAACTTAAAAACTTCATAACTTTCTTATCTTGAATCGGAATTTGCTCTAACTTTCATGGACCTGTTCTCTCATCTTTCTACTTCTATTAAAACCAACTTAACATCAGGGTGGACTTCCCCTTTAAAGATCATATTTAACATAGGAAACCTTTGACCTTAGACTAGCTGTTTTTGTTATACCTGATTTTGAACAAATTAGAATTGGGTTTGAATTTGAGTATATTTCACCTTTTTAAATGACTTAAATTTGTATTCCTTAAATTCTATTATAAACGACTGATGTGGAAGACTAATCACTCACCCTTTCGTCAAATCGGGGGGGGGGGGGGGGGGGGGGGGGGTCGGCATAAGCCGTTTTTAAGTAGGGGGCTTTTCTTGAAAGGGTGAGTTGACTAGTCTTCCACATCAAATGTTTTAATAAAATTTAAGGGCTAGAAATTTTAGTCATTTAAATTGAAATAATCAAAATAGAAACAGATTCAATATTAAATAAAACTAGTTTTTAAGTAGTCTTGCAGATCGGGCGTTAATAAGAATTAAATCAATTAATAAATTCAATAATTATTTAAAAATGTCAAATAAAAATAATATCCATTTTTTTCTATGTATGGAATTAATTTGTTTATGTAAACTATCATGCATAACAGTCTTCACAAATGATATAACAAATAAATAAATAAATAACGTAGTAGGCCTACTGCCTTCATGTACCCTTTCCGGATAAGCGGGCGGGAAGCTTTTCTGAATTCCATACATAGAAAGAAATGGATATTATTTTTTGTAATTTTAATAAATGAACGACTGATATGCAAGACTAGGTAAACTCCTTTATTTTACATTTTTAAATATCAAATTAAATATTTTCATTGTGTTGTTATTTATTGATTTAATTCTTATAAACGCCTGATCTGCAAGACTCCGTAAAAACTATTTTTATTTAACTTTGAATCTGTTTCTATTTTTATTATTTGAATTTAAATGACTTAAATTTTTATTCCTTAAATTCTATATAAACGACTGATGTGGAAGACTAGTCAAGGCACCCTTTCGGCACAACCCAGTGGGGGGGGGGGGGGGGGCTTTGGACGAATGGTCGTGTTCAAGTCAATGCGACGCTACTCACCCTTTCGGCATAAGCCAATTCAATCAGTACCTGCGTAATTAGCACACATTTCAAAACAAGTTACAGGTATAAAAGAATATACAGTAATCAATAGCATTCAACAGCAGTGAATGTTGTCCATTACTGATTTTAACAATTTACCACCACAACATACCTGCCAACCCTCCCGCATTTTCCGGGATATTCCGCATTTCTGGAATTTTAGGACCTTAAAATGCGGGAGATTCCGCATTTTGGAAATTTAAGCCAAATTGGGCTTTTATTACCATTTGCCGCGATTTGTGTGAAAGCTCTTGTATAGTATACTGTGTGTGTTGATGGCCGCGGAAGCTCATTTGGCTTGTAATGACGGTTTTGCAGCGTATTTGTGCCACTGATAGCGTAGAGATCAGCATTATGTGTGTGTGTGTGTGTGTAGCGTCTGGCCTGGCATGTACTTTCCATACACGTACACACACACACACACACACCCATACAAGCGATGTACAAGAACATGCACGCTTCACGTGCGATAAATTTTGAGCGAACGGGTTAGCTTCGACATGTGATCGTGAATGGTTACTAAACTTGCAAAAGTTTGTCAGCTTTACTTATAATGTCTTCCAATCCCAAGGAATACGCTTGCTTGATGGATTCATGGAGTTTACCGTACCGTACTAACTTTTCAATTGTCTAATCCAGTATTTGGAAGAAGTGTGTCGGAACTATGGTATACAGAGTGAACGCACGCTGCAGTGCGGTACCGGAGGTGAGTCGGTGCCAGTGGAGTGGGGCAGCGATGGCGAGGCGTACCGTACATGTACTGTGTATAGTTTGATCGATGCATGTCAAATGTTGCCGTAACTGAGCTGTGTTGGACAATCGCTACACCGAATTGAATTCAGCGTACCTGCCAACCCTTCCGAATAATCCGGAATATTCCATTTTCTGGATTTTTAGGACCCCAAAATCCGGAATATTCTGTTTATTTTTTCAAAATTTCGATTTTTTTTTTTTTTTTTTTTTTTTTTTTTTTTTTTTTTAAATTAAAAAAAAAAAAAAAAATTTTTTGTTTTTTTTTGTTGGTGTTGCTTAAGCCAAATTAAGCTTGTTTTATCCTTTGACGTGATGTTAGAGTTCACGTATTGCGTGCGTTGAAGGGCTGCATGATTAAATTCGCTTTTTTTGCACAGATTTACCGCGTATTGCCAGTTATACACTGCCGCTGCATGTGCCAACGCCTGTTAAGTGTACAGATTTCTTATTTTCGAAGACATACCGCGCTAAAAATTCTTAATTCTCATTTTCAAATGTTGGCAGGTATGCCACAATCCTATTACAGCAGAATTAAA